AAGATGGAGGAGAAATTGTGGGGGTGACCAACTGATGGCTGGCACAGCTGCAGACCCATACCCTGAGAGGGAGTTCCCCCATGTGAGCCAGGACTCAGAAGTGGGATATCCCAGAGACCTGGGATAGAACCAAACATGAATGCCAAAAAATTCAATGAAATGATTCCTGATGATATTGTGCTATACTCATAATTTGATGTCTAGTCCAACTGTTTTAAGTGAGTCTTCACCAAGCAATTTATGGAAACATATCCATTTATCCATTTGGTTTTTGATGTTTATTTTGTTTTTCATTTTTGTGCTTTATTTTTTTTGCAGAGCTGAGGACTGAACCCAGGGCCTCACATTGCTTAGAATTCTACCACTGAGATAAATCCCCCAACTCTTTTGTGTTTTTTATGCATTTTTATTCTATTCTTTTTTATTTTGTTTATAAAGAAAAATAGAGAGAAAAATAATATAGACATAGGTGGGTAGGGAGGCGGGGAGGACCCAGAAGAAATTAGGAGAGGAGAAAAACATTACCAAGATACATTCTGGGAAAAATACAGATTAATAGTAAGTAATGCCCCCATATATAAAGTGGGGTAGAGACAGTGTGCTCAAGAAATGCTAGTGGAAAACTGGCCATACAGAGGTCGAAAAGAAGTATCTCCCAGCCATTGTCCTGTTCCAAAATCAAGTCCAAATGGATCAATGACTTTAGTGTAAGTACTGAAACCATGAAACTGATAAAGACAACAAGGAGAAAACACTTAAAGATATCGAATAATTCAGGAAATAAGACCACAAATTAACAAGTGTGGTTGCATAAAATTAATTTTATCTGCATTCAAAAAACTTATGAGCTGGGTAAGAGGCAGCCTACAAACAGATGGAAAAATATCTACTGTCTATATGAGACTGAAGAATATCTAGAACATAGAAAGGATTAATACACTGTGGCTGTAGACACAGGTCAGCAGTTAAGAACACTTGCTGTGCTATCAAAGAACCTGAGTTCAGTTTCAACCACACATGTTGGCAGGCACCTTAAAAACCACTTAAATTTTCAGCCCTGAAGGATCCAGCTTCCTCTCCTGCCCCCCATGAGAACTGCATTGTCAAGTCCCCTACAGATACACACACACATATCTTTTATCAAATGCACATCCAGTACTCATACAGCCAAGGTGAAATTCTCTGTCAAAGTAGACAATAACACATTTCTTATTTTTGTGACAACAACTCTCATTAACTTTTTAGTTTTTTTTCCAAGCTCCCAAACATTTCATGTTTTTCCAACCTTACAAAACTGGGGATTTTGTCAAGCTATATCTGGAAAGACATGAAATGCATGGTACTCCTTGTATTAACTACAAAGCATTCATCTATAGAGCTTTATCCATACTGAACCCTGTGTCTTTCTTTTCAGAATACCAATTCGAAACTATCAGTTTGTTCTGCCTTTTGCTTTTGCTGTGGAAGAAATCAACAGGAATCTGTATCTTCTACCAAATGTATCTCTTATATTTGGCTTCTTCCATAACAATTATGATGATAAACAGGGACTTCAAAATTTCATAAACAAGTTTGCAGAAGTGCATATTTTTCTCCTTAACTACATCTGTGAAGATCAGATCAAATGTATAGTAGCAATAACAGGACCAATGTTAGTGACATCTGTGAGGGTGACTCCAATTCTCCAGCTCTACAAATATCTTCAGGTGAGGTTGTTTGGGTGGGAAAGAATGGAATTTTTCTCCTTAGTTGGCATAGCCTGATTCTAAGGAGGATATGAGGGGGAAATTGGCTTCATATTCATCTAAATCAGTTTCAAGGGTGATTAATCAGGCACTCAATGGGACATTCACAATTCATTAGTTGATGTAGCTAGAGTTTTTCTCTCTGGGTCCTGCCAAGTCCTGTAGCCCACTTATAAAACAAACATACTTAAACATACTTAAACTGCTTGGCCATTAGTTCAAGCCTACCATTGTCTAGCTGTTACTCTTATACTCAGCTCATTTCTGTTAATCTATATGTCACCATGTGTTCCATGGCTTTATCTGTTGCCTTTACATGATGCTCCCTGGATGGCAGGTTGGTGTCTTCTCCTCTCCACCTTCTTGTTCTCTCAATTCTCCTCTCTGCTAGTCCCATCTATACTTCCTGCCTGTCTGCTGGCCAATCAGTGTTTTATTTATCAATCAATCTTTCACAGCACTCCCCCCTTTTCTTTTTCTTTTTCAAAAAGGAAGGTTTTAACTTTCATACAGTAAAATTATATATAACAAAACAATTATCAAATAAGAATTACAGTTACAATATTAAAGAAGATATCCTATGTATCTTATATTTGTGAGTCTAAGGTTTTATATCTAACTTATCTTCTCTCATAACAGAGGAAATTATAACAATCTAGTCTTCAACTACATCAAAGATGCCAGAAGGATATACTATTACCTGAGAAATTGGAGAAGGGTGCAAGCAACTTTAAGGAGTCTTGCAGGGTAGACAGAGACAGCTGGCAGCCTGGAGAGTCACCTAATGCTCCTTTGTAAAGTTGGGGCATCTGTCTTCAGCCCACAGGCCTAGAGTCTCTCTGTGTCCTGTAGAATGTCTATCAGTTTCCTCTGTGAAGCAGGAGCCTGAATGACCATTTTGCCAAGCAAAGTTCAGTGGTCACCTTTCTATGGGTCCTGCATGTCCAGTAGAGCAAGCAGTCCAGGCAAGAACAGTTTCTTGCCCAAATGTTTATTTTTTGCCAAGGTGAAGATAAACGCCATATGGAGTGTCTTTGATGCCTATCCTCCTCTCTGAAGTAAATTGGTGCTTCGAGGAGCTGACATATCTCATTTTCTAAAAAGTCTAAATTTTTAAAACATTTTAAATGCCATATTCTGTAGGTATTTGAAGTGTTTGAAGATTACCTACCTAATTAAATTATATCTATGTATACCTAGAAAACAAGATGACTATAAGTTTGACTATCATGGAAGACTAATTATTAATCAGTATTTCTTAATTATCCATTACAATTTATATGAGTTACATAAACCTAATATCTCAAACAAGAATAGAATATATATGTACAGTGTAACAAAATTAAGTTTAAGCTTGTATCACTAAACTAAAATCCATAGCAATGTAAAACATTTTAAACAAGTTGCTCTGTAAAAGTAGATTCAATAATCTACCCTTTCATCCTGTCATTTCTATATCATATCCCCCTTTCTTCTTTAGAAAGAGATCACATTTACAATCAACCTGATTAAATAAAAATATTGGTTTTTCTCTGTCCCGTACCAGAGGGTTGTTCTGATATGGGACAAAAGAATTTCTTAACCTTCTTTTTTATTTTTTAGTAATATGTTTGGGTTTAGAGGAGTGAGCCAATTCCATCTCCAAAGCCAGCTTGGTATATTTGGGAATTTAGGCATAGCTTCTCTTACTACTTCCTGCTGGAGGGGGATGCTGTATCTTATGTGGACACAAAGAAAACTTTAGGGTTATGGAGTAGTCCATGAGAGTGTATCGTCTAAGCCAGTTGAATTGAAACTGTTCTGGTTGTTGGATCATCTGGGCCATGGTGTCGTCAGAGACTGTTCAGGGGGTCTTGGCTGGTAAAACCTGATGTATCTTAATCTGGAACAAATCCATAGTCTCTGGCTTTCTGTGGAAACAAAAGCAGAGCCTCCTTTCCAAAGCAACATATCCTTAGATCCAAATTTTGAAGTCAAGCTATCTTTAAAATATACATATCCTCTGTACATTTTTACACACATTGTAAAACATTGAAAGTCTTGTTCCATCTGAATCTGTCTTTTTTTAATCTATTTTTTTTAAACTGCAGCATTTGTAAGACTGAAATGGCCCCTGTGGTTGGTGGTTTGTGGCTCTGCCTGCCTCAGCTACCCAACATGATAGTGTTATGTTTACTGCCAGCTCTGGAAGCCATTAACTCTTAGAAACAGTTGTTCTATGTTTTGATCAAAACATCATGTAGCCCAGAAACCTTTTTTTGTACTAGCAAAGATTAAATCCACCAAGCAGCATAATGTGCCACTTGTAGATGCCTCATTCCGGCCATACTTCCAGTCAAATGCACAGACTGCCACTAACTTGAGAGAGACAACTAGGAAGATGTTTTTAGCTCCGTTTTAGAATTTTTTTTTCAGATTTTAGTTGGAAACTCTTGCCAACCTTTTGGGCACCATTTGTAGCTGGAGAGCTTCTCTCCAGGTCCTGCCAATTCTGGGCAGTCCAACAGCCTACTTGGAGGATCCTGGAGAGAAGCTCTCCAGCTACAGTTTGATATATAGATGAAAAGAAGAATTACCAGTGAAGGGTGTTTTCCTTGAAAAAATGTAGAAAGGTGATTTTTTTTTAGGTTTCTAACAGTGTAGTATAACTGTAGTAATAGGGAAAAATTGTCTTCCTGTCATTTTAAACTGGTACTTCACACACCTCAGGGCTTCCATTAAGATTTCTGACAATCCTCTACCTCATGCTATATTTTATGTCCTTCAGCTCACCTATGGACCTTTCCATCCTATCCTGAGTGATCATGAACAGTTTCCCAATCTGTATCAGATGGCCCCCAAGGACACAGCTCTGGCCCTGGCCATGGTCTCTTTGATGATTCACTTCAACTGGAACTGGGTTGGGCTGGCCATCTCAGATGATGACCAAGGTCTCCAATTTCTCTCAGATCTGAGAGGAGAATGTGAAGTCCAAAGAGTCTGCTTAGCCTTTGTGATCATGATCCCAGTCAACATGGAGTTATACATTTCAAGAGCTGAAGTGTATAACAACCAAATTGAGACATCATCCACAAATGTTGTTATCATTTATGGTGACATAGACAGTACTCTAGCTGTGTGCTTTAGAATGTGGAAATCACAGGGTATGCAGAGAATATGGGTCACCACCTCACAGTGGGATACCACTACAAGTAAGAGAGACTTCACCCTTGACTCATTCCATGGGACTCTTGCTTTTGCACACCACCATGCTGAGATTTCTGGTCTTAAAAATTTTGTTCAGACACTGAACCCTTCCAAATACACAGACAAGTTCCTGGCAGGACTGGGGTGGATGTACTTTAGCTGTGAAGCCTCAACATCTAACTGTAAGACACTGGAGAACTGCTCTTTGAACGTCTTACTGGAATGGTTAATGCTACAGAGTTTTGACATGGCTTTCAGTGATGATGCTTATGATATATACAATGCTGTGTATGCTATGGCTCATGCTCTCCATGAAATGCTTCTTCAACAAGTAGAAAACCAGCCAATCAACACTGTGAGAGCACTGGATTCTGACTGCTCACAGGTACTGTATCTTCCAATGAATGGTACTTCATGTCATCAATGTTATAAACTTTAAAGAGTCACATGTTGAAACCAATATTTATCATATATGTGTTGTTCACTATAAGGCATGGTGTGTATAAGTGTACTCACCTGATTCTGACCCCACTGTAGGTTCTGGAGACCTTATCCCTCTTGATTTTCTGAGAACAATATCAAAGAAAATAGTGCTGAGATTCAGTTCAATACCTACTTGTGTACCTGTGTGTATGTGTGAGTATATTTGTGTCTGATTGTCTGTATGTCTTTGTGATTGTGTCTGTGTATGTGTATTGTGTCATTTTCAGTGTGTAAATGCATTTCTGTTCCTTTGTATGGTTGTGTATAGATGTGCTTTTTGCATATATGAATATCTCTCTTCTGTGTTTGTGCATGATTGTATATATGACCATAAATTTGTTGTGTGTACATATGTCTCTTTGTGAATATTTGTGTCCGTATGTTTCTCTCTGTGTGTGTTTTGTGTATTTTTGTGTCTCTGTGTTTCTGTGTCTGCATTTGCTTGCTTAGGTCTGTCTGAATGTGTGTGTTAGTGTGTATGTGTGTGAATGAGTGTGGCTGTATTATGTGTGTGCCTCTGCATGGGTATCTGTGTAGAAGTGTTTGTATGTGCATACGTGTGTACATGCAGGTGTGTGTGTGTGTGTGTGTGTGTGTGTGTGTGTATGGTGCATATTTATGTTTGATGGTTGTATGTATGTCTGTGTTTGTGTATGATGGTTTCTACTGAGAGAAGTAAAATTCTGGGAACACAATGACTTTATTTATTCACATGCTTTCATTGAGTTTCTCCCTTGGACACCTTCAATAAACTTTCCTTAGGATAAAATCAGAACAGATTTTGAAACTTAAAATAAGGTGATATAGACTGAAGAGTGTTGTCTATCTTTCAGCTTCACCCATTTCTGAAGAATATGCACTTTGTTAATCCTGCTGGAGATGTAATAAATATGAATCAGAAAGAAAAACTGCAAGCAGAGTATGGCATTTACTACATTTGTAATTTCCCCCATGATGTTGGACTTAAGGTGAAAATAGGAGAGTTTAAGCCATATTTTCCACATGGTGAACAGCTGCATTTATATGAAGACATGATAGAGTGGGCCACAGGAACTAGACAGGTGGGTCTGACCAAAATGTACTGATGTACACTTCAGAGTTGGAACTAGAGTGAAGTGAGGCCATTTGGGTTTCCCTGCGACCTAGTGAAATTAGATGGATGATCATGTAAAGACATAATTTTATACTTCTAGATGATGTTTTTTTCCCTTCAGATTTTAAAAGTATGATTTTTTGGTAAGTTTTTGAAAATCTAAGACAAACATATGATATATTTTTAACACATCAGAAACACTCCGATTTATAAACAAATATAAAACTAGGTATGACCAACATTTGATATTATTCCCAGTAAAGTTATCCATATTTTCTTGGTACTATTCTGATTGCTGCCCATTGATTTTCATCTCTTCTGTCGAATCACTAATCCACATGCTGAAAAGACTGAAGCTGTTTGTAAGGAAAGATTTGGAACTAGAAATAGAGTCATTAATTTATATTCTATAATATTATTCAAGTATGTTGACTAGGAGGTCCTAAACTGCCTAATAGTCTAACAATACATTCACATTTTCATGGGCCACCTTAGATATTTTATTAATTATAATTTGTTTTTTAGACTTTTTATGTATATGAATGTGTTCCATATGTGTATTAGGTATGTAAGTATGTCCGGAGAGGGATTATGATACCCAGGAACTGAAGACAATTTGAAGCCTAAGTATAGGAGTTGGGGGATTGAACACCAAGTATGATAGGTTGCTGAGCCACCTCTCCAGCCCTCAATCATATTTTCTAAAGGAATCCTTCATTATGAGAACATTTCTTTGTACCTTAATTCTTGCATAACTCATTCAAACAAACAAACAAATGAAAAAACAAACAAAAATATTTGTATTGTTTCCTTTTTTGATTGGACAGGCACTCATAGTTATCATAATTTGGTTTGAGAAAATTTGTAAATAAAATATCCCATTATGTGTCCCCAGGTATATATAGGTATTGATTCTGATGTGTCTGGTTTTATAATATCTGAACTACATCGTCTACTACAATGTTGTTTGTTGATTTTGAAAGGGGTTTACGTCCAGAAAGTGTGCAAACTTAATCTGAAATGATATCTCAAGTTGCTCAGATAGAGTTAAATCAAGAGTTAATATTCTATCTTCACAGTGATGAGAAATTTATGCTCAGAGAACAGCTAAGTGGGTTAAAGTTTTAACTACTGGCCTGTACCACTTAATCAGAGGAGAGCGATAAAATCACAAGTCTACTTCTACCAGGCCTAACTTGAAAGAAAATTACAAAAACATCAACCACAAAGAAAAGAGAGGAGTTAAAAAAATCCAATATGCGCTGTACTGTAGATATGCAAATCATAATGCAGAAATGAAACTTGCAAACAGTGAGGCAGCAGGATTCCATATGATACAATCATAGGCTTACGTGATAGTGAACTCAATGACACACCAAACAAAGACTTCAAAGAATAACTGTAAGAATGTTCCAGAACAGGGACAGAGTGGAAGAATAAGGAAATAGATACCATGATAAATGAAGACATCATGAGAATAGGAAGAGGCAGGGTGCTGGAGAAGCTGTCAGGAATTCACAAGGATGACCCTTTCTTGGACTACTGGCAATGATCAAGAAGGTGTCTGGACTGGTCTACTCTGGTGATCAGTCTAGGGAATAATCTACTTGTCATCATAGAGACTTTATCCAGTGACTGATGGAAGCAAAAGCAGAGATCCAGGGCCTGTTGCCAGGCAGAGCTCTGAGCATCCAATCAATGAGAGAGAGGAGGGATTCTGTGGGCATTGGACTTGGAGATCATGATGGGAAAACATGCAGAGATGACCAGCCAAACAAATAGAAACCCATGAATGATGGACTGATAGCTATGGAGGTCCTGTAGAACTAGACGAGGCCCTCTGGTTATGGGAGATTGTAGTTTAGCTTGAAGTGTATGGGGGACATCCAGGCAAGGGAATTGGGATCTGTCCCTGGTGCATGGGCAGGCTTTTTGGAGGCCAGTTCTTAAGGTGTAGTACTTTGCACAGCCTTGGTGCAGTGGGGAGGGGCTTGGAACTGTCGCAGTTGAGTGTGCCAGGCTCTGCTGAGTCCCCATGGGAGACCTTGATTTGGAAAATGTGGGGATGGTGGTTGGCTTGGGAGGGAAGGCTTTGGGGTGGGAAGAGGGAAGAGGTAGGTCTGGTTCGTTGGTATGCAAAGTGAATAGAAAATTTCTTAATAAAAATGAAAAAAGAAAAAAATGATCCAGGAAATCAAAGAGCATATAAATTACCTCTAAGGACAATCCAATTAGATCACAAACACTTGCAAACAATAGGAAGTTGAGAGAGGATGTGACAAAAATTCAGTGAAGTTACAATAACAATGAGGAATTCATACAAACATTCTGAAAATGAATGACACAACAATTCCAACAACAAACTGTATAAAACATCTTTCTCTGAAAATGTCTCAAGTAGAAGTCAAGCTTTTAAGACTTGAAAAAACACAGATGAATTTTTTAAAATTTATTTATTTCTTAAATTACACTCATGATATGAATCACATTTGTGGTATTCATAGATTACATTTGCAGTATTCATTCCATTATATATATAATATTTATATAAAAAATATATAAAATATTTATAATAGATAATATTTTATATAAATATTAAAATATAATATTTTATATATAAAATATAATTTATATAATATAATATATAATATCTTATATAAATATTCAAAATATATATTTTATATATAAAATATATAAAAATATTTATGTATATAAAATATATGTATATATATATTTAATTTTAAATGTTGAATGTCATTTTTTGAAGGGGGTAGGAGGTCTTAATTACAGGCTTAACAGCACAATGGGAGGACCTCGGAGGGCAGAAGTTCGCTAGTGATGTTTTACAATCTTGCATCTAAGCTGTTAACGCCCATTATTCAGGATACACAGACAAGGAACTTCCCTTAAGCATTCAGGAGGGTGGAACCCGGCAGGAAATTAGCATTGGGAGGATATCAAGGTCAAGGTCAGCAAGCAAGGCAACAGTTACCCAAAACGGGGGCCAGGATCCTGCAGGTCCACCTTTTATTAAAAAATGAGCTTCTGACTTGGGTTGCATGAGACGTCAGCAGGTTACCTTACCCGTCATGGAGATGCCTGAACACAGATGAATTGAAATTCAAACTATGACAAAGCTAAAACAATAAGGAAGGATGAAGAAAACACAAGAGACTTAGGGGACATCAATAAAAGATCAAATTAACAAAACACAGGCACAAGAAGATGACAACATGTGAAAGGACCAAAGGTATTTCTAATAGAATGACAACCAAAATTTACTAAATGCTGGGGAAATATGGCCATCCAGATACAGGAGACAGTCAGAGTGCCTAATAGACAGGTTCAGAAAAGGACCTGTCCTGTTTAAAGATTATTTAAAATCTCAGTTATGCAGAATAAAGAGGAATTTTAGGTTACAAGAGAGAAGGTCAATTTCATTGAAAGTCCTCATCATAATAACAGTTGCTTGGTTCATAGACACTTTAAAAAGAGGAAGGATCATTCATGTATTTCAAACAGTGATAAAATTTCCAACTTCAGTTACTATACCCAGCAAAGCTGTCCTTCATAATTTCAGGAAGATGAAAAAAACTTGTAATGGTGACCACAAACTGCAGGAATATATATCTACTGCAACATCATTAACGAAGACACTTCCAGACTGTCTTGACATGTCACACTCCTTCACACTGAATATTAAGTTAAACAGTAGATGTCACAGGAATGTTTAGACTACACTAGATCATTAGACAGAAAAGCAAAGGTTTGAAATATAACAAAACTTACAAAAACACAAATTGACAATAATCACCAAATAGCATTCATTAATAACCGAATTTGAAGAATCCCACTCTCTAATCAAAGGACACAGACAAGGAAATATTTTTTTCAGAAAACAATACTCCGTTGCTCAGAAGGAAAACACTGCACTCATAAGGAAGAACAGAGTCTCAGTAGTAAAGAATAAAGACCATTCGAGGCAAAGTGAATCAGAAAGAGGAAAATTATAGTCAAATCAATGAAAATGAATGGAGAAATTCTCAAGTAAATACTGGCAAAGAGGTCTGAACAGCACACCACAAGATCAACTCCTGTACACAAGATGACTTTATTACAAGAATGTAAGGCTGGTTCAACATATGCAAAACAATCAAGTATA